CCCATGGAGGGCCTGCTGGAGGGGGAAAAAAATCTTGTTCATTCAGTCACAAACTGGCCAAAGTAAGAAATAGAAAGTTCAGCTGTCCATTTTCAGAATACAGTATTCAGCCTTAACTGGGAGGTAAATCCATTCGTAGCCATTTTAATCATGCCCCTTTCCTTTGTCCATTCCAGGATCAGAATTAACCAGATGTGTAAACTGTGGCCTGAGCGACTCCTCTCTGAGCAGGGGTCATGTTGTGTCGAGGTAAGAGCAGGCCACTGCCCACCCCTTGGTCAGCAGCACACTCTTTGGCAGAAATGAAGCCTGCCTTGCTGAGCCACCTCTGAGCATGTCTGATTCCTTGCGGCACCCAGGTATTTCTCACAAAACCATCTCAGTAACATGTGGTCGCCTCTCCTAATTTTATCTTTTTTTTTTTAATTTTATTTTCAGTTGTAGTTGGACACAATACCTTTATTTTCATTTGTTTTTATTTTTATGTGTTTCTGAGGATTGAACCCAGGGCCTCGCATATGCTAGGCGAGCGATCTACCGCTGAGCCACAACCTCAGCCCCTTATCTTATTTTTATTTATTTTGTGCAGGTCTCTGTGGCTTAGGTTGGCCCTGTACTCCTGGGCTCCAGCGATCCTCCTGCTTTGACCTCCTAAGTAGCTGGGACTACAGGCGCAAGCCACCATATCCCTCTCCTCCTGATTTTAAAGAGAACATCCAGTACCAAGGAGACTAGGGCACACACCACGTAGGACCAGCAGCGCTCAGGCCAGCGGCGACCACAGGAGCCCCACTGGAAAACCAGCAAGACTTGTGGCTGCCTGGCCCCAGATCATGCTGGGCAGCAGCAGCGGCCCCAGCCAGAGGACAGCAGGTCTGCCCTTCGCCTCTGCAAGCGGAGTTGCTCAACTCTGTGTTTGTGCAAGCTCGAGCAGCAGTCACCCTGAACCCAGAAACTCCACTTGCTGGCAATCCAGGGTGGAGGCTGATGCCGGTTGGCTGCGCTCCAGCCTCCTTCCCAGAAGCACGAAGTCGCAGAGAAAGCTATGCATTTTTCACAGATTGTGAGCAGAGACAAGGCTCATCAAGGAGAGGTGAAATCAGTTGACTCTTGAGGGAAAAGAACAGTCAACCCAGAGAAGAGCATGGACTGATGGAAGGGCCTCTGTGGAAGACTACACCACTGGCCCTGGGGCAGGAAGCAGGTAGACTGGGGATGAACCCAAAGAGATTAGGCAGAACCAAAATGACCTGTCTGCTTTTCTAAATGTTTCCATTCAGCTCAGGTAAAAACTAATGTTTAGTTCCCAATGCAAAACAAAGAGTAAGGAGATGCACAAAAAGAGATAAAGTTGTGCAAGGGCAGTCATGAAATCCAGTGTAAGACCAGGGGGCTGGGGCTGGGCTCAGGGGTGGAGCCCGCCTAGTACATGCAGGCACTGGGTTCCATCCTCAGCACCACATAAAAATCAATCAATCAAATAAAGGTATTGTGTCCACCTACAACTAAAAAAATATTTTTTAAAAAAGAAGAGGAGGGGCTGGGGTTGTGGCTCAGAGGAAAAGTGCTCGCCTAGCCTGCATTAGGCACTGGGTTCGATCCTCAGCACCACATAAAAACTAAATAAAGATATTATGTCCACCTACAACTAAAGAACAAATGTTTAAAAAAAAAGAAGAAGAAGAGGGAAAACAAGAAAGTGAGACTGAAAAAAGAAAAAAGCAACATTTCAAGAGCAAAGTAAGGTTTTTTGTTTTTTGGGTTTTTTTTTTTTAATACTGTGGCAGGAACCCAGGGGTGTAGACCACTGAGCAACATCCCCAGCACTTTATATTTTTTATTTTGAGACAGGGTCTCACTAAGTTGCTTAGGGCCTCACTAAATTGCTGAGGCTGGCTTTGAACTTGTGATCCTCCTGCCTCAGCTTCCTGAGCTGCTGGGATTATAGGCATGTGCTACTGCGCCAGGCTGAAGCAGGTATTCTTGTCGGAGTGCGCACTATGAAGGCTCTGGAATGGAGGCATAGTTCTGGGCTCCCCACAGACAGCATTCAGTTAATCATCTGCATTAGGGATAAAATAAAAGAAATGTGGAAAGTAACCAGATGCAATGATACACATCTGTAATCCCAGGGACTCAGGAGGCTGAGGCAAGAGGATTGTAAATTCAAGGCCAGCCTCAGCAACACAGAGAGGTCCTGAGCAACTTAGTGAGGCCTGGTCTCAAAATAAAAGGGCTGGGATGCGCTCAGTGGTTAAGTGCCCTGTGTTCAGTTCTCAGTACTGAAAAAATAAATAAACAAAAAGAAAAGCAAATAAAGTGAATATTTATTCAAAACACAGCAACCTCAGAATCCAGCTAATAGACCTTCCCTAAACCCACAGAAGTTTGGGGTTAGGTAAGGGAACAACAGAAGTAGGGTGGGCAGAAATACACAAACATCTCAGCTGTGTGGAACTGCAGAGATGTTTTCTAGGGTCCTGTTGGCCTCCTCTGGCACGAGGGGCCAGGACTTTGGGCAGCAGTTCCTACTATTTTCTGTTCTCAGCATAAGACGATTTCCCGAAGGAAGCTGAGATGGAGTGACAACTGAAAGGGCAGGTTAGCAGGACTAGGCTGGTCCTCTTTACATTTTTTAATCTTAAAACTGTCCCATTTGGAAGACATCTGTGACAATAAAACCCTCCCACACTGAAAAACTGCCTTTTGGCCCTTTGGCGGGGGTGGGGGGTGGGGTGGGGGTGGGGGTGTTGTGGCTCAGTGGTAGAGTGCTTGTCTAGCACATGTGAGGCCCTGGTTTGATCCTCAGTACCACATAAAAATGAAATAGGGATATTGTGTCCATCTACAACTAAAAAATAAATATATATAAAAAGAAAAATTGTCCTTTGGGGGAAAATCAATATTTTCTGTATTTTGCATTAATACATTACAGTTGTACATAATGGTGGGGTGTGTTGCTACACATTCGTGCACACACACAACACTGCAATGTAATTTGGCCAACGTCACCCCCCAGCACTTTCTCCCTCTGCCCCTTTTCCCTCCCCTGGTCTCTTTCCTCTGTTCTACTGAGCTCCCTTGATTTTCATGAGACCTCCCACTTTTTCTCTGTCCACAATACAATCAATATTTATTCCCTACATTTGCCAGCATGCACACCCAACAGGTGGCATAGGGAGGTGTGACATGGGGGAGAAGGTGAAGAGAGAGGAGGAGGAAAAGCATGGAGGAGGATTGAGAAAGGGAGTCCCCAGGGAGGTTGGGGATAGGTGCAGCTCTTGCTTCCTCCTCTGGCTTTCCACCCTGTGTGCAGCACGAGAAGGTGTTACAGGCCTTACTATTCTCTCAGATCCTCAATCCACAGTGTTCCTTGAAGATTCAACTAGGGAGGGAAGCCAGGAGCTAGCTCATTCTGCTCCCATGGCCTCTGGACACAGTAAGGCTGGGTCAGGCAAGTGTTTCCTCCAGGCAACCAGGGATGCCTTCATGACCAGAATGAAGCTTCTCTAAAGAAAACTTGGAGTGGAACCATCATTTGACCTAGCTATCCCACTCTTTGGTCTATACCCAAAGGACTTAAAATCAGCATACTATAGTGACGAAGCCACATCAATGTTTTTAGCAGCTCAATTCACAGTAGCTAAACTATGGAATCAATATAGATGTCCTTCAATAGATGAATGGATAAAGAAACTGTGGTATATATACACAATGGAATATTACTCATATTAAAAGAGAATAAAATTATGGCATTTGTAGGTAAATGGATGGAGTTGGAGAATATCATGCTAACCAAAGTAAGTCAATCCCCAAAACCCAAAGGCTAAATATTCTCTCTGATAAGTGGATGCTGATCCATAATGGGGGGGAGGCATGGTAAAAATGGAGGAGCTTTGTTGGGGCAAAGGGGAGGAAGGAGAGGGAGAGTGAATGAGGACAAGAAAGATGGTAGAATGAGAGGGACATCATTACCCTAGGTACATGTATGACTGCATGTATGGTGTGATGCTATATCGTGTACAACCAGAGAAATGAAAAGTTGTGCTGCGATTGTATACAATGAATCAAAATGCATTCTGCTGTCATATATGCCTAATTAAAATAAATAAATAAAATTTTTTTAAAAAGATGCTGGGGAGTGACTTAAGCAAAGAGGAACTGGAATATTATTTTCCATGTCTACATAGAGGAAAATACATTAGTGTTAATTTTGGGGTCTAAGAAAATCCAGTGATTTAACAAAGATCATTTTCATATGGCTTAATGAGATACCAACTGAAGTAAGTTAATATTGATGAAAGTTAATGAAAAAGAGGCCTAAGTATTTTGCTTGTTTTTTTTAACTGTGGCCTTTTGGATTCCATGGTAATTTAAATGCTCAACATTTAGAAATATAGAAAATGCTACCTAGATCAATTAAAAGGCAGTGTGTGATAATAATAGTAAATGTCTAGGTTTGTTATAGAGACTGTCTTTGCTTAAGGAGGGAAATTTGCCTTGTTTGTTTTATAGTACTAGGGACCGAATCCAGGACACTCTACCACTGAGCTACATCCCCAGCCCTTTTTATTTTGAGACAGGGTCTCGCTAAGTTGCTGAGGCTAGCCTGGAACTTACAATCCTCCTGCCTCAGCCTCCAAAGTAGCCAGAATTTTATGGTGTGTGCCACCATGCTCCACTATAAGAGGAATTTTGAAGACTCCAACTATAACAGAGTGCAGTGGGTTCATCTTGCTAAGTTCAAAACTTAAAATACAACCAGGAGATAAAAGAGGGGAGACAGATTTATTACCTGCAGCAGGTAAGGAGAGCCCTGGGATCACTTTGAAAGCAGTGTCCTCCCTGAGGAAAGGGAGTGTGGGGTCTTATTCAGGCACTCTACACATATTCATATAAGAAAGCGCATTGAATGAGCACATTCAGTTTAAGGTATGTGTTTCTAAGCACAAATGATCAGGACAAATGCTTCCGGGCATGCTCAGTTTAATATTATAATGAACCAAGTTATTCTAGGTCACCTCAAAGAATGAACCAGAGTGGCTTATTATTATGGTGACTCTGGTTTGTTCTCTGCAAGTTTTTCTAAAAAGGATTAGCTGAAATAAAAAGGTGTGCTGATGGAAGAGTTTGATCCCCAAGGTGCCTGCACCCTTGGTAGATGAAGAATTCCCCCGAGACATTGCCCTCACCATTCTAGTGGTGCTTAAGGGTGCAGGTACTTCCCACTGAGTGGGGCACCGTGTCCTCCTTGTTAGAGGAGTGAAACTCTTTATGCTGAAGTGAGACGGGCTTCGAACCATCAGAGCAGCCTACAACATCATGTTTGAGGCCCTTTTGCAGTTGTTTTATTGTAACATTTTTTAAAAATATTTACTTTTTAGTTTTTTTTTTTTTAGATGGACACAATATCTTTATTTTATTTTTATGTGGTACAGAGGATCGAACCCAGTGCCTCACGCATGCCAGGCGAGTGTGCTACCACTTGGCCACATCCCCAACCTTATTGCAACATTTTTAAGTACATTGAATTATTAGCTAAATCATGAATAAAATCAGAAAAATTGATATTTAAGAAATCTGGAAAACATACGCTTAATGTCCTGGGGGAATCCAGGCCAAGTCACTGTTAACCAAGCAAACCAACTAAAAGACTAAGACAAAAGGCCATTTGTTGTTTTCTCTTACTTAGGATAGTGTGCAAGTGCCATTAGTCATAACACAACTGCACTGGACAAGATCATAAGCTTCTGGCAGGACACAAAAGAGAAGAAGCAGGCAGAAGATCAAAGCTGTCAGAGAGGCCGACCACCGAGGAGAGTGAGCAGAAGAGTCCTGTTCTGTGTGGCCTCCCTTGTGGCTGGGCTTCCTTAGCTTTGGGTGTGTGTCAAGCCTGCTTCACAGGAGTAGGCACCTGTAGGCACACGCGAGTTTCGGCTTCTATGCTCTTATTACTCAGTGTGATGAATCCAGCAACTGAGATCTAGGGATCATCGCTTGCCATCTAGGGAAAGACCAACTAGTTAGTAAGACAAAGTAGGACCTTTCCAAGTCGGGTTAAGTTGGTCCTGAGGGGACCCTGACTTCAAGGTTTTAAACTCATGGAGTCTTCAGGTTCACAGAGGTGAAGTCTTACCCTGTAGGAGAGGGAAGTTCTAGCTTACAGACCTAATGGAGGTCAACCCTGTTTGCCAACACTAATTACACGTTTTAGTGCCAATTTGACGTTTACATCAGGGTGCACCTCAGAGCTAATTCTCCCCAGAAAAGAACTCCTGTACAGCATCATAAAGGGCTACACTTGAGCTACACTCTCAAAATGCAGGTCAGAGCAACATAGAAAAGTTTTAACCATGTTTTTAGCTTCTTATTACAGTGTGACCAAGGTTATCTTAAGTGTACAATTGGCCCTTTTTCATTTGACAGATAACTGGGTTCGCCATGCTCCATGTGATCTTTTTTTCCCCTCACTTCTTTTAATCCTTTTTTTATTCTTTTTTTTTTCAGTTTAGATAGGACACAATATCTTTGTTTTATTTTTATTTATTTTATGGGTGCTGAGAATCGAACCCAGGGCCTCACATGTGCTAGGCAAGCACTTTGCCGCTGAGCTACAACCGCAGCCCCAACTACATGTAATCTTAATTGTATTCTGTTATGGTTTGGATAGGTGGTATCCCCCAAAAGCTCCTGGGTTGATGCAGAAATATTCAGAGGTGAAATGACTATGAGCACTGTATCCTAAATAGTCCTTCCTAGTTTGAATTGGCTAACTGTGGGTGATGCTGTAGGCAGATGGAGTGTGCCTGAAGGAAGTGGGTCACAGGGTGTGTGCCCTGGAAGGTTTCACTTACCACGTAGCTTCCCCCAACCCCACCCTGCCTCCTAGCTGCCACCAGCTGAGCAGTGCTTCCCTGCCACACTCTTCTGACATGATGCTCTGCCTCCCCTCAGGCCTGGAGCAATGAAATTGGCTCACCATGAACTGAACCTCTGAAGCCATGAGCCAAAATAAACTTTTCCTCCTTTGAGTCAATTTGTCAACTCATTTGGTTACAGTGATGAAAAGCTAATGCACACAGAAATCGGTACGAGGAGTGGGATCATTGCTGTGACTAACCTGACTATGTGGTTCAGAAGACTTTGGAAGTGGTTTGCAGGAGGATTTTAGAAAAGTTTGGAGTTGCAAGCTGGCAAAGTCTGAGAATGTTATAACCAGAAATTAATGATTATGGCAGAAGTGATTATGGCAGAAGCTCAGACAACCAGAATGTCAGAAGGAATGCAGACAGTATAGACCATGCTCATGAGGTTTCGTAGCAGAATATGGACTCTATTGGGAATTTGACTATAGGCCATTCACATTGCAAAGAAGTTGTCTACATTTTGTCTATGTCCTAAGACTTTCTATTAGGCTAAATTTAAGATTGATGGAACAATTAACCTGATGGAGGAATTTCAAGGCAGCACTAATGAAGAGGCAGTGACATGGATATTGTTGACAGGATTTAGCCAAGTTTATTGTGAAAATTCAGGAGCAGAAATCAGAGTGGAGACAAGCGCTATGATGCACAACTGTAATCCCAGCAGCTCAGGTAACTGAGACAGGAGATCTCAAGTTCAAGGCCAGCCTCAGCAATTTAGCAAGGATCTAAGAGTCTGTCTCAAAATAAAAAATGAAAAGGGATTGGGAATATAGCACCCAGAAGAGGGCCTGGGTTAAATCTCCAGTATCAAAAGAAAAAGAAAGAAAGAAAGCAGAGTGAAAGGATTTTAAAAACTTGCAGTTTGGGCTGGGGTTGTGGCTCAGCGGTAGAGTGCTCACCTAGCAGATGCAAGGCCCTAGGTTCGATCCTCAGCACCACATTAAAATAAATAAATAAAACAAAGATATTGTGTACAACTAAAAAATAAAATATTAAAGAAAAACTAAAAAAAAAAAACCTTGCAGTTTGGTCAGAAAAATGTTTGTAAAACTGGGGTCAAAGAAGGTATGGTTGTTATGGTTGATTATAGAGACTACTAAAGCAATAATACAATACATAGATACAAGATGTCTTGAGGCACTTGAGAATTGGTGAGACCAAGGGTATAAAATTAAAAGTAAAAATTTTTTTGAGAAGAGACCATTGAGACACTCTGCTTGCCCAGGAAAGCCTGGGACGTTATTTTACCATTCTCAGCCATCCAGACAGCAGAGGTTGTGGCAGCTGTGGTCCCAGGAGGTGTGGCTACTGATCAAGCCACACTAGCAGTGAACCTTGGCCTAATCCACATGGTGCTGGTTCTGCAGGAATGCAGGACACTGGAGTTAAGAGGTCATGGAGTCTTCCACCTTTCCAAGGAAGGCCTGGAAGGCTGGGAAAAGTGTGGAAAAGTCATAACCCCTGCTGGCAGCCCCTGGAAGGGCAATGCATGGATCTGTGAGCCAAAGCTACAGGGGAGACCCCTTGGATTCAGAGGTGCCAGTAATGTGAAACACCTGCCAAGGGAAGCTGCTGGCTGTGGACAGAGCCAGGCTAAAAGAGAGCCCTTGTGGACTGCAACCAGATAGGTCAAGGGGATGGGCCTGCCCGAACCTTATGTAAATCACATCTTACCACCATATGTGTCCCTGACACTAGACCTGGAGCTGACAGGATTGTTTGCCCAGCTGGATTTTGGTTCTGCTTAGATCCCATCTCTTCTTTCTATGCCCCTACACATCCCTTTGAAATGGGAATATTTACTGTATGCCATGGTGTATTGGATGTATATAACTTTGCTTTTGATTTTTCAGGAGCTTACGGTCAAGAGTTTGCCTTGAGTCTCAGAGGAAACTTTTGACTTGGACTTTTGGGAAATGTTGGGACTGTTAAGGTTATAGGGACTCTTGGAGATAGATTAAATGCATTTTGCATTGTGAGATGGAGATGAGCTCTTGGGAGCCAAGGGCAGAATGATATGTTTAATATGTGAAGTGTCCCCCCCGCAATGCTATGTCAATGCAGATATGTTCAGAGGTGAAATGATTAGATTATGAGAACTGTAACATAATCAATCAAGTTTGAATGGACCGACTAGGTGGTGACTGTAGGCAGGTGGGGCATGGCTAGAGAAGATGAGTCACTGGGGGTTGCCCTGGAAGGGCTCATTTTCCCTGGGGTACCTTCCCTGGTCTCTCTTTGCTCTCTGGCTGCCATGAGTAGAGCAGAGTTCCTCTGCCAAGCCCTTCCACCATGAAATTCTGCCTCATCATGGCCCAAAGCAATGCCATCAGCCACAGTGGGCTGAATCTCTGAAACTGAGAGCCAAATAAACATTTTCCCCTCTAAGTTGTTCTTATCAGATATTTTGGTCATAGTGACAAAAAAAACTAACTTTACATACCTGTAATCCCAGCTACTCAGGAGACTGAGGTAAGAAGATTGAAAGTTCAGGGACAGGACAGCCAGGGCAACTTATGGAAATCCTGTCTCAAAAAATAAAAAAGGGGGCTAGGATTGTAGCTCAGTGGTAGAGTGCTTGCCTAACATATGTGAGGCCCTGGGTTCTATTCTTAGCACCTCATAAAAATAAATAAATAAAGTTATAAAAAAATACAAATAAAATAAATACATAAATAAAAAGGGCTGGGGATGTAGCCCAGTGGTCGAGCACTCCTTGGGAGGAAAAAAAGTCCTTTTGTAACTTCTGCTTTTTCCATTCTGCAAGGTAAGGCTTTATCCAGCCAGAACAAGTACCACTGAAACTGAGAGATACTAAATCCTGCTGGGATGGCTGCCATGAGTGTAGAAGCCACCCGCCAGTGCTTCCAGGCTGCATGGCTCTGGCTGGCACTGCCCTTTCTAACAGGTTGCGGGAGGCCTCGTTTGAATGTTATTTGCCGCCAGCTGGAGCAAGCTGTTTCGTTAGATTAGCTGCGATCTCTGAACGTGGCGTCCCCAGTCCTCCAGGAAGCCCGTTGTACAGCTCCTCTTTCAGGGAGAGTTAGCTGTGGCCAAGGCCACCCTTTTTGGCAACCAGATCTTTCCCTGCTTGTCTGTCGTCCACCCCGTGAGATAGGAGACCATTGAAGACTTGCCCTGTTTGCTTTCTGTCTTTTCTTCATTGGAGGAGGAGGGAGAAAACCTGCAGAGAGGCAGGGAGGGGAGGAAGGCCGCTGGAGAATTTCCTGGACAAAGCCACACATTTCTTCGTATCTACCCATGGGTGTCTTTATTGATTTTAAGTCTCCCTCTAGTGCCCTCGGCAGTGGACACTGGCTACGTTCCTAGGGTGTGGTTTCCTTCCTGAAGCAGTCTGAAGAACTCCCTTTTGTGTTCAATTCCCTTGTTGCTTGCATTGGGAAGACTGCTCTCTCTCCAGATAGCACCCCGAGCCAGGACTGCTGAGGAGGCACACCTGGGATCTGTATGCAGTCACCGTCCTTCCTTTTTCTGATTTCAGTCCTGAGACAGGACTGTTATCTTAGCCTTTTCAGTTGAAGACCTTAGCTATGGTGGGCTATTAGCCTCAGAGGTCTCCTGGAGAGACACCATGAGTAACCAGCCAGGCTGGCCTTTAGCGAGACTTGCTGCTACCTACTTGCCACACTTCAGCTTCCAGCAGGGGGTACAGGAGTGACACAGGAGTGACACAGTAGTGGGGCGGCTGGGCTGAGGGTCTGGCAAGGTTCTGGACTCACTTGGTAGCAGGGGTCGGGTAATGAGTCTTGTACTGTCTCGAGAACCACTCTGCCAAGCAGCAGCCTGTCTTCTGCAGAACACAGGAGGCCTGGTGTGAGGTCCACCTGTCAGTGGCACCCAAGTTACAGCTGTTGCCCTGAGCATGGTAACGACCCCTGAGACATAGCAAGCACCCTTTGAATCTGGGACTGCATTGGGCATGGTAGCTACACCTGTGATCCCTGTGGCTTGGCAGGAGAATCGCCAGTTCAAGACCTGCCTCAGCAATTTAGCGAGGCCCTCAGCAACTTGGTGAGACTCTGTCTCAAAATCAAATAAGTTTTAAGGCCAGGCACCTGTAATTCCTGTGGCTCAGGAGGCTAAGACAGGAGGATCATGAGCAACTTAGTGAGGTACTAAGCAAGTCAGTGAGACCCTGTCTTTAAATAAAATATAAAATAGGGCTGGGGATGTGGCTCGGTGGTTGAGTGCCCCTGAGTTCAATCCCTGGTACTCAAAAAAAATAAATAAATAAATAAAAAGAAATCAAATAAATTTTTAAAATAGTTGGGGATGTAGCTCAGAGGTAGAACTCTCCTGGTCCAACCCCAGTAACACACGCACATGCACACATAGCCAGGGCCCACACAGCGCTGTGTGCAGGAAGGACAGATGAATATGGCGACTGGAAACACAGGGTGAACATCCTGAGTCTCGTGAACTCAGATCCAGATCCCTAGGAACCTGCACCTCCATCGTATCCTGCTGAAGACTGACAGTTGCCTGAGTTTGCTGGACGATTTGTAGGAGGGGAGTGTGGTGCTCAGGAACACACAGAGCGCCTTAGGTAAACCTCTGGGCACACTCCCAGGGCAGGTCTGAGGAATGCCTTTTCTGAGACTCCTTTCCTGATGCAGAAGGCCTTCTTAGTAATTAACAGAGTTTGTAGCTCCAGTACTGAGTGAAGCCCAATACCCCCCAGCCCCCCAGCTGTCTTCCCAGGCTCCCCAGGGCTCCCCAGAGGACAGCTGGCTTTCTACGTGGCCTCTCACTGCCCATCTTCTGCAAGAGGGGCCCAAGAGGAGTTGTGCTGGTCCCCCCACAGCCCCCCGAAACCAGGACAGTTTGAGCCTTCCTCCTTCCACCATCCCTTTTGCTCGTGAACGCACACTGGTTGGTTTGGTTCCATCTTTACTGGTGGTTTATGGGTCCCACATAGATGGCTGGGCACTCACCTGAGTCAGCTTCTTTCTTCCTCCTGGGTCATTGGAAGGGACAGGAGTGCCACTGCCATGGGGACAGCTTGCTTTTTCTGTTTTGTTCTACTCCCTCTCTCCAGTCACATCTCTGCTGTAAATTTTAAAGGCAATCTCTACCAGTAGAGAAGGGTTAGTCTTTGGACTCATGACCAATTTTTGGAGTTCTATTCAGACATCAGGAGCACACTGAGATAGGAAGTAGGTATTTGGGGTTATCTGGCTACTGTTCCCTTCTGGATGCCAAGGGGTATATTCTTTGAAGATGGTTTCTCAACCTCTGCATGAAGGCTGAAGGATCCTTCTTTGGCTTCTGGTGAATTTCCCTGTTTGCCCCAATTAACTTTGGGTTTGCTAGCTTCCTGCATTCTCTGAGTATGTAGGGAACTGGCTCCTCCTGCCACTCAGTTGGGACTTTAAAAATGAGGGTCCCCTGGAGCTATTCACCAGGTCACCAAGCTGGTTTCATGATTTGCATGCAGCTTATCAGCCTTCGTTTTAGCCTCTGCCAGTGCAGCTGGCTTGACTTCTTTGGTTGGAAGGTGGAAAGGAAAGTGTGACTATCTTCTCAGGCTGAGTTGTGGGTTGTAGATACCCCTCATAAGACAAATGCATCTTCCTGAGTCTGCCCTCAGACCTTGGCCATGTGCTTCCCAGCTGTACAAATCAGAGGTCACACAAGGCACACGCATGTAAACAAAATGCCCCTGTCCATTGGGAACCTGTCGCTGGAGAAAAAAATCTTTCCTGGCTGGTAATTGGCCCCATGCCTGGTGGTGCTTCAGGAAGAAGGGGTTTTAGTTTAAGGGAGGGTCTGGGTGCAGAGGCTCTGGGAGAAACATCTGGAAAAGGAGCTCAGGATGAGAAGGGTGTGGAGAAGGCGGATCCACCTGCTCAGCAGGAACTGAGAAGCAGGGGAGTCACCTCTCCACCCATGGGAAAGTAAAGTAGGTCTTCTTCCTCAGGAGGTCTTTCAAAGAGCAGGAAGGGGTTTCCTTATTTCATCAAAGGTTTAAGCTTCAGGTTGGTTAATTACATTTCTTTTGGAGTCCTTCAGTTTGATATAAAGCCATAAGACACTGCGTGGGGAATTTTCTCCCCTTCTTCCTTTCTGTTGCAGAGAATGGTCTAGTATTGTAATGTAGATACCCAACATTGGGCCATTGTTCTTGGTCTCCCTGATCATACTATAGCCATAACATGTTACAGAGAAAGACCATCTGTCCCTTGGTCATCACTGAGTAGCTAACCCCTGTCAATGATGGGGGAGACACATGAATGGTCTGCCCTCTGTTGTGGATATCTGATTGCCCATATGAGTTGCCTAAGGGGGAAGAGAGAATGATTAGCCAAAGCACAGATTCCACAATTCTTTATGCAGGTGTGAATGTTGGCTCTAGTATTTCATGGCATTGAAATCATAAAATTACACATCTGGTGGTTCTGGAATATACCAACAAGATAAAACAGAGACCCCCATACTTCCATCCTTTACATCCTTTGGAGGGACCCCTTTACCTTGCTGTAGATCTGCAGGTGGAAATGGTTTCCAGCCAGCACAGAACTCTCCTGGCCCTCCTCTGAGGGCTTCTGTGGTTGGTCGACCCTGAACAGCCTCCCCTTCAGGACAGAGCCCCCTGGTAATGTCCTGGATGCCTGGGCTCAGCCTGGATGGAGGTTTTCTGTCAAGACCAAGAGGCACTCTTAGACGTTCAGCTGACCCCTGCCTGCTTCCATCTGTTGTGGAGCCTCTGTCAGTGACTCAAGGGAGCAGCTCCACCCATCTATCAGGGAAAGCTTCCAAATGACAGCTCAGAACAACTATCAAGTTCTCTGGGAAACAGAAAGGCGAGGCAGGTCACCATCATACACCAAGAGAGGGTTCTCCTTAGCAGGCCAGGACCCATTTCCAGCAGTGCAGGATGGCTAGCCTGGGATAGGCTACCTTCCATCTCTCTCCTATTGGGAGTCAAGCAGTAAAAAACAGGGAGCTATCAAGGGAAAGTCCTAACTGAGGTCACCAACCATGTAACAAAATGCAGTGGGTTCCCACTTTAATGAGTGCAAACCCAAAAAATACAACCAGAAGGTAAAAGAGTGGAGACTGATTTACCACCTGCACTGGGAGGGCACTGGGGTTATTTCCAAAGCAATGCTCTCCTTAGGGAAAGGAAGCATGGGGTTTCCTTCAGGCAGTCTGTATTTCTATAGGAAAGCACACTAAGGGTGTCAATGTTCCTGAGCATGCTCAGTTCAAGCTGTATGCTTCTGGGCAAGCTCAGTTTGGAGTTATAAAGATGGTGGCCCCCAAATGCTTCTGGGCATGCTCAATTCAATAGTATAAGGAGCCAGTAGTATACGGTGACTTTAGGTCACCTCAAAGAATGAGCCAGAGTGGCTTGGTGACCCTGGTTGGTTCTCTGCAAGTTTTCCAAAGAGCATTAACTGAAATAAAAAGAAAGAACAACTTTGAAGGTGCTTTAATGCAAGAGTTGCCCCTGAAGTTTCCCGCTTTACTTAGTGGCTAACATACCAGCAGCTACTGCAATAGTCTAAGCCAGAAATTATTATAGCCAGATTGGAATAATGGCCTTGGGGAGAAGAATACAGATAAAGGAGAAGCAGACAAGGGGTAAACAGGCAGAGCTTAGAGAGCAAGTACATCTGGTGGCAAGGGTGAAGGGAATACTCAGAAATGCTCCCAGGGCTCCAGGTTAGATGCCCAGGTACATGTGGCAGTGTGGGTCCCTGAGCAGGTATGTGAATGAGGAGGAATGCATGCCTTCATGCAGTCAGTCCCCACCCTACAAAGAGGGTGCACAGGTGCCGGGTGTGGTGGAGCACTTGTAGTCCCAGCTACTCGGGAGACCAAGGCAGGAGGATTGAAGGTTAAAGGCCAGCCTGGACAATTGCCATGGCAATTTAGCAAGAGCGTGTCACAAATTTTTAAAAAGCAGGGCAGGGGAATGGGGATGTGCTTCAGTGCTGCTCACCGCTGGGTTCAATCCCCAATACTGTTAGGGAGAAAAACACCTGCAGTCACAAAGGTCCAGGCACAGTGAGGCTTTCAGTGCTTGCCTTATTTTGGAGTAAACAAAAGAGTTCAAAGAGGTGGGCTCCATGAAGCCAAGACCCGTCCTTTCAGACGTTCCCTCTAGTACCCTTCCTTCAGCACTCTGTACCCTTATCGAGCAGCCTGGGGGCACAGGAAACTGAGAAGGTGGGCGAAGAACAGGCACACAGCCCTGGTGATGGGTCCTCTGCCTCGTCCTGGTCTTATCCACGCCTTTCTATAATAAAATCTTTTTCTGGTACTGGGGATTATAGGCATGTGCCACCATGCCAGATATATAACACAATCATTTAAAAACAGTTTCCCAAATATAAAATATTTGCTTCAGTCAATGACAGTAGACTTTATGTTCAAATTTACTGAGAAAACAATTCACATGCCAAGTAGAGACTTTTAAAAACACATACAACTCGGTGGGCTGGGGATAGTAGAGGGCTTGCCTCACATGCACAGGGCCCTGAGCTCAATCCCCAGCACCACCAAAAATGACAATAAAAAAGAAAGAAAAGGGCTACGGAAAACAGAAGCTTAATGAGATGTGTTAGTAGAAGTAAAACCAATTTAAGTCCCTTGGTGTTTTTATAGACAAGCCTCTCTGTCTTCTAGAGAGAAGCTTTCTCTTCTCCCTGTCTGTCTCCCTCTCCAAGCGTGGACTTCACCTTCAGTCTGGGGAGCTTATGGTATCTAGGGCCAGTGCCTGCTGAAGGTCTATTTGGGGCATGACCAAGACACAGGGGCTGAGAGCCTCTGGAGACAGCACACTCCTAAGTGAAGGGAGAGACACCTGCTGTCTGCAGTGGGAGGAGCTGAGGAGGGAAGCTCCTGCTCAGGTCACTTATGTGGCTGTCTTCCAGCAGGGACTGAGGTTAAAATCATTTCCCAGGTTTCCTTGCTCAGATAGCTGTCTTGAATGTGGCAGTCAGCTGGGATCTCACTGTGCTGTCTTGTGGCCTGGGCTTCCAGACAGAATGACAAATGGGTCTAAGAGCAACCCTCCCCCGGGGAGAGCCACGTGGAAACCAAATGGGTTTTTCTGAACTAGCCTTGACATCACAGGAAACACTGCGTGGCACTTCAGAAGCATGTGACTAAGCTGGTATTCAAGGACATTCCATCTCTGGATGAGACAACTGCCTAAGAATTTGAGGATATGATTTAAATCACCACATCCTGTGAAGCAAGGTGATGCATGTCTGTAATCCCAGCAGCTCTGGAGGCTGAGGCAAGAGGACTGCAAATTTGGGGCCAGCCTCAGAAATTTAGCGATACCCAGTCTCAAAATAAAAATAAAGGGGCTGGGATTGTGGCTCAGTGGTAGAGCTTGCCTTGCATGCATGAGACCCTGGATTTGATCCTCAGCACCATATAAAAATAAACAAATAAAAATAAAGTTATATTTTAAAAAAAGTATTGTGCCCAACTACAACTAAAAAATATTAAAAAATAAATAAATAAAAAGAGCTGGGAGGCTGGGCATATACTTCAGTTGGTAGAGTGCTTGCCTCCCATGCACAGGGCCCTGAGCTCAATCCCCAACACCACCAAAAATGAAAATAAAAAAGAAAGAAAAGGGCTACGAATGTGGCTCAGTGGTAAAGCACCCCTGGGTTCAATCCCCAGCACCAAAAATAATGGGCAAGGAACATTGGAAGGAGGCGGCCAGCTGCAGTATCTGGGAAAGAAACGGAAGCTTATTAGAGATAAGAAATGCAGAATCCCAGGAGATATTTGGAAAGGAGAAATAACAGGACTTGAATTGAATGTGGGAAACAGGGAGAAGGACGACTCTGAGGCCCTTGGCTTGAGCAACAGGGAGAACATGTGTCACTCACTGTAGTGGAGGAGACAGATGGAGGAACAGATGATGGGAAGGTAGATGATAGAAACCAAGAATGTCACATAGGACATTCTAATTTTGAGATGCACATTAGTTATACAAGTTGAAACGTGGAGGAATTGGTCAGGATTTAAGTTGAATGCTCGAGACTGGTGTAGGCTAAGGGTGTCGGTTTGGCACTTGTTAGCATTAAATTGGCATTTAAAGTCATAGGCTAGAAGAAATCACCCAGAGAGGAGAGATGGACAAGAAAGAGGTGTGCCCTTAAGGTGCTGCATTCCTGCTGGGAAGAAAATGGAGCCCAGAATGGGAGGAAATGCCCCAGAGAGCTTTCTACTGTAGGAGAGTCAGGAGATAGGCATGCAAGGATAAGAAAATGACACCATGGAGTAAGGAAAAGGGGGCGTGGAGAACCAAGGAAGCAGAGGGGACTGAACATCACCATCTACATCCAGTCAACTGGGAACCAGGAGGAGCACTCGCAAGATGGCAACTCACGACACAGGAGAAGCCCTATGTAATCACAGCGAAGCCACAAAATAATAGAGATTCAAGCAATTGAAAAAAATACTTACTAATTGCGGAAATTGGACAGAAATAATAGGTTAACCCTGGGTTGTCCATTGGTGGTCCTGAGAGTAGATAGAGAACCTAAGAAAGGAGAAAAGAAAGACCTGCAGAGACAGAGAGGCACACCATACACCTACAAAGGCACTTCCCAGAGCCAATCCTGGCCAAACCACTGAAACTACCAGGACAAAAACCTTCCACAGGCCTTCCGGCAGGAGAGCAGGAGGACCTTCAGCCAGCACAGGCTTTCTCACAGTCCCAGCCGAAGCCAGAGGATACTAGAGTCAGCTCCAAGGAAGAACGGACAGAAAGGAAGTGAATCAAGAACACTCTACTAAGATGTCAGCTATGAATGAAAGCATGAAGCAGGAACCCCCAAACGTGTACCAGAAATATAGCAACGATGAGCTCCCACATGGAAACTGCAGATTCAACAGCATTGTGGTATTTTAAAATCTTCTATCACAGCTTTCATGAATCTTGAGAACAGATATGGCTTATACCCTAGCACTTATCTAAAGAAATTCTTTCACTGTACTTAATTTCTTTAGCTTCTGCTATACAGAAGAGTTATTCCTAATGCATTCTGTTGTCTATCTGCCTAATATTTTAACCACCTATTTGCACATAAAGAAGCATGAAATGAGCATCACCTAATGTTAAAAAAGATATATTTGGTGGTAGGAAATTTCATGATTGTTTACTTTATTCTTTGTATTTTTATATGACTTGGATTTTACATAACAATTACAAATTATTTCACAAAACACTCTAATTTTTTTAAATTAAGCAATTATTAAGAATGATGTACATAAAGAAAGAAAGATAGAATATGAGCTTCATGAGCCAGGTGTGGCAGTGCACACCTGTAATCCCAGAAACTCAGGAGACTAAGGCAGGAGGATCACAAGTTCAAAACCAGACTCAGCAACTTAGTAAGACTAAGTTTCAAAATAAAAAGTACAAAAAGGAATGGGGATGAATCCCCAGTTCTGCAGAGAGGGTGGGGGGCAGATAGATGAGCTTCGTGACTACAGGAATCGCACTTACTCAGCACACATTACATACTGGCTATCTTGCACACATTGGACCCACATATAATTCATCAAAATAAGAATCATGACCTTAGCTTTCCAGGGGGGGACACTGAGGTTCCTGGGTATTTGTTAAACCTGGGATCACACAGCAGATAAAGACAGGGT